GTCACCTCGGGGAAATTCAGATTTCTCATCTATGAAGTGGGGAGGTTGGATTAGTTGGTCTCTTGCAGCCCTGAGATTTTATAAGGTAAAGAGTCAGCATCTTTTCCAGCACAGACCACAGTCTGGACATCTAGAAACTACACTGACAGTCACTTATCTGTTCAGCAAGTACTGACTGAGCACCCGTGATGTGTGAAACACCGTTCTACACACTGGGATTACAGCAGTGAACAAGATGAAATCCTTTCCTCTCATGGAGCTTGGTTCTGAACAAAGAGGCAGACAACAGTCAAACACACAAATGAACAAGTTAATTGGAAGTATGAATAATTGCTGTGAAGATGGTAAAATAAGACAGTGAGGTGGAGGGTGACCGAGTATCAGGGGAAGGGCCAGTGGGGAGCCTGCCTCCTCTCTGAGGAGGTAATGTTTGAGCAAGACTTGAGTTGAGCCAATCTGGGGGGCACAGCAGACTGCTCAGAATGAACCAAAAAGACCCTCGGGAAGGAATGAGCTTGATGCATTCACACAGCAGAAAGAAGGCTGGTATGACTGGTGAGTGAACAAGGAATGATTAGAAATTTGGATTTTATCACAAGCCTTTGGAGAGTTTTAAAGAATGAAAGGGAAGATCTGCTGTACGTTATAATCTCTGGCAGTTCTGTAGAGAGTAAAGCGTAGGGGAGCCAAAGGAGAAGCAGAGATGAGTTAGGAGGCTATCGTAGTCATGCAGAGAGATGGTGACAGTCAGACCAGGAGTAGCAGGGACGTAGGGAATAAGTACATAGATGCGGAATATGTGTAGAGGTTTTGAAAGAAGGAAACATCAGAGCAGGTCCCCCCACCCTCCATCCCTGCCAAGCCTAACATAGATTTCATGACCTTCATATATAAGCAGGAAATATATTTATGATAGATTGTACTGTTTATTTGTTGGTTTCTGGCTTAGAAATGCAGAATGGCATGTTTTGGTAGCAAAAATGATAGTTCACTTTTGAGTTGTTGTAGAAAAGCCTAGTGAATACAGGAATACTAGAACAAGTATGCATTTCTTGGCCCCAGTGGAATAGATTCAGAGCCAGTTTAACAGCCCACAGTGTCTTTCAAAGAAAGAACTTTTCCTGGGTCCAGAATCCAGGAAAGACTGACCCTGCTTGGGTTGTGTGGCCACTCCTGAATCAAATATTGGGTCTGGGGGTGGTAAAGTGATGGCTGAGGCTTCCTTTATGTCCTGCATCCCATTAGTAGGACATGAAAGAGGGTCAGGGACATTTCCCTCAAGGCAAAAGTACAGACTAACAAAAACAATTTGTCTGTGAAGATGCCTTTATTTGGATTTCTCAGATGCCACAACCCCTAGGAATGTCTGGCCAAAGGTCATAGCCAGGCCTAAATCGTAGCTCTCTGAAACTCTGTCCCATTCTTTTATCTTCAGAGGAATTTGGGGGGGGGGTTTGTTTGTTTGTTTAAACAAAACTTTGTTTTGTTTAAAACCAAAATATAAGCCTTCTATTAATAATTTTTCCTTGTTGACTTCTTTATGTATTTGATTATTTAATATATAAAGTAATCTAAAATCTCTCAAGATTTTTGCCATGGCCTAGCCTTCAGTGTTTTCTTTAGACAATACAGGACATCACATACCCCAGCACCAGTCTCGGTGTGTCAAGCATAACTAATCTGAGAGCCCTATTCTTATCAAGATGGCCCCAGGTTCCCATCCACTTGACTACATGCCTCATAACAGGTATAATACAGAAACTGTGGGCACAGAGTTTTTCAAGCAGTTCTGGGTGCAGATGGGATGCTCCACTTGCTCTAACCTAGCAGGATCCCTTCCCTTTTATGCTCAGAGCTCAAAGCCTCGGGGACACTCCTCTCTCATGGATCTGTTTTCTGGGGAGAGGACCCACAGGGCTGAGAAATTTCTTGAGGCCCTTGTGAATGATCAGTTCACAGAAGAGAAGTGTAGGCTATCTACCTAGGACACATTGTTGGGGTGGTGGGGCATTGGTCTTTGATTCCTTTTCATCCTCCCTCCTGTTTCTCCAAGTCCTTAGAACTTGGTCCCTCCTGGCTCTAGCTGTTTATGAGCTAAAATCCCCCCTGCTTTGCATAGGTTTTTTCCTCTCTAATCCAAGGAATTCCATTCAGTTCAACCCATTTATTGAGTGGCCTCTACAAATAAGGCCCTAAATGTACAATCTGAAAATCACCTTCTTTCTGCCCTTTTATATTCTCCATCTAAATACATCTCAGCTAGGTACCAGGAAGACTGGATTAATTTATATTAATGTGCGATAAACAACATATTGAATCACTCGTTCAATAAACATTTATTGAGCATCAGGCTGTAAACCAGGTACTCTTAACAAGCACAGATGGCAGTGATTAAATTTCCTGGCCTCCTCAGGTAAGTTATATTCTAATGGGGGAAACAGATAGTAAATAAGTAAGTATATAATATGCCAGTAGAGTGAGTGGAGTAATTTTAAAACATAAAGCAGACCTGCTAATGGGGGAAGGAAGAGTATGTGTACATGTGGGGGCAGGGGGTATCTTAGAAAGTTTAGTTGGGAAAGGTGCCTCTGGGGAGAACAGACCTGCTGTAGCGGGGGGAATGGGTGGGTAGAGACTTGAATTTAGAGAGAAATCTTTTTGGTAGGATTTCCAGTTACCTGAACTTCTCATCAAAAAATAATAATGTAGGTGTGCCTGCGTGATTTAGTTGGTTAAGCATCTGACTTCAGCTCAGGTCATGATCTCGGGGTCCTGGGATTGAGCCCAGCATTGGGCTCTCTGCTCAACGGGGAGCCTGCTTTTCCCTCTCCCTCTGCCCCCCTCCCTCACCTCATGCATGCGCTCTCTCATGCTCTTTCTCTCTCTCTCTCAAATACATGAATAAAATCTTTTAAAAAATAATAACATAGAGATGGAGGTGGAGGGCCTCTCCAGTATAGAGCTTAGGCTGGACAGCTGCACGGTACGGACTCTCCTGTCCCCTGCCAGTTGGGGTCATGGTTCTGATCCCTTGCCTAGCTCCTCATCACTGCCCTTCCCCAAGCTTGTCATCACCTGACTGTTTCCCTGTTTATCTCACTGGTAGAACTTTCAGCTTGGCTTTCTTCCCAGCTACCACTTACACTCTTATCCTGAGATCATATGATACATGTCTTTCTCTGATTGACTTATTTTGCTCAGCATAATACCCTCCAGTTCCATCCATGTCATTGCAAATGGCAAGCTTTCATTCCTTTTGATGGCTGCATAATAGTCCATTGTATATATATACCACATCTTCTTTATCCATTCATCTGTCGATGGACATCTGGGCTCTTTCCATAGTTAGGCTATTTTGGACATTGCTGCTATAAACATCAGGGTACACGTACCCCTTCAGATCCCTACATTTGTATCTTTGGGGTAAATACCCAGTAGTGCAATTGCTGGGTCGTAGGGCAGCTCTATTTTCAACTTTTTGAGGAACCTCCATACTGTTTTCCAGAGTGGCTGCACCAGCTTGCATTCCCACCAACA